AGTTATCCTTGTTTCCTCTAACCCTATGGGAGTGCATCAGCCTCATCTACTGATGCTTTCATAGAATGGCTTTGGTTGGAGGGGATTTAAAGACCATTTAATTCCAACTCCCCTGCAGTGGGCAGTGTTGACAACCTGTAGATTGGGCTGCCCAAGTTCTCATCCAGCCTGGTCTTGAAAACCTCCAGAGGTGGAATATTCAATGATGCCTCCTTTGTCATTTTTTTTCTTAATTCCTCTTGCTTAGACTTTTTATTAGCTTCAATTCCGATTAACTTGTATCTTTGCAACTATGATTTATAGACAAAGTTTGTTTTCCTCTTCAGACCGCTGCCGCTGTTGGGTTTTATTTTGTCCCTTGCTTTCCCTTTCCCCTTTTCCCTCTTTTTGGCTTGGTAGGTCTGCTGTTCCCCCGCCACGGACACAGATTTACAGATAAGACCACGACCAAGCTAAAGTGTGGAATGGCCTTTCTGCTTAACCACTGAAAACCTTCATGACCTAGTACAGTGAATTAATCAAAACCTGTCAGATTTGGTACCTTTTTCTGAGTCAGGTTCACCAAATGATGAGAGGGCAAGAAGGAATTTGATAGGAAGAGAAGGAATGGCCTCAAGTTGCACTCGGACGTTCAGATTGGCTAGTAGGAAGAACTCCTTGTCAGAGTGGTGAGGTACTGGAACAGGCTGCAAAAGAAGGTGATGGAGTCACAGTCACTGGAGGTGTCCAAGAAATGTTTTGATGTTGTGCTGAGGAACATGGCTTAGTGGGGAAATATCGGTGATATGTGGACAGTTGAATTAGATGATCTTAGAGGTCTTTTCCAACCCTAATGACTCTTATGCAGAATTTCAGGTTCTTGGCATCTCATTTCCTGCCCGTTACTACTGTTCTGTATTATGCCTTGAATACTTTAATGGAGTTGAGCAGTAGAAGGCCCTTAGCTATACCTTCTGTACAGATGTGAGCCTATAAGGAGTATTATAAAAATATCAGTACCTGTACAACAGATTATCTTTGCACGTTCTCTGTGCCAGGGAATAGAACACCTACTTGCTGCTATTTTACCCTGTCACTATTTAGTGTAAGATAGGAATAACCTTGGAATCGTAACAGAGGTTTTCTGCTCTTGCAAATAAGCACACAAGTACCAGCCCAATGACAAATGGATATCTTTTCCATCTAACAGCATCAGATGGAATGGAAGGCTTGTATACCTAGAATAATGTTAGAGTTTTGTATGACTTTGTCTGGCTAGTATTAGAAGCTATTATTAATTAAGCTTAAGGAGACTTGTCTAGCAGTGCTCTACTAAATTATCAGTGAAAAATACTGGCCTTATCAAGCTATTTTCATCAGTTGAATGTGCAACAGAACTGCAATAGGAATGGGGTGAGCATCTGATGGATAACATCCTTTATTCTTTTTGCTTGTTACTAGTAATTTTTACTTTTTACATGCAAGTGTGATATGGTTACATCTTGTTGGACATGTTTATCCTTTAAAATGAATGATTTCTCAGTGTTCTCTCTGGCATTTGCTTGCTGTATTTTACCGCCCTCAATCACTTTAGTAAGGGAGTACACATTACATTGGCAACAAAATCAGGAAGTCTTGATCAAAAATTCAGTTTTCCAAAAATTCAGGTCAAAGATGATAAGCATTTTCAATAGCTTAGTGAATGATATAGGGAAAATGTGTTAGCAGCTTAATGCGGATGCGTGAAGCCTTATCCTAATCAGTTAGCAAGTTATGGCTAGAAGCTCATTACCACTTGAAGGCAGCAGAAATGAAATGAACACAGGTCTTTCACTTTCTGGGCAACTGTTAATATCTGACTGTACAAAAAGGAATAGACGAACCTGATGGGCACACATCACTGGTGCAATTGTATTCGTTTAGACTCTGTTACTTTGAAACCTGTTTTGGCAAGTGTCTCCAGGCAGATAAATATTTTCTTCCGAGAAATGACAGTTTAAATATATAATTCCAAGAACCTGCATTTCATCTACCCCTTCCCTGTAGAATATGCTGAAGATAGCCCAAGGCAATTTGTTGCTGTTTATATGCCGGCTATTTTTGACTCTCTTGCCAAGGTGCCTAACTCTCAAGCATTAAGTGGAGAGGATAGCTGCCAGACACAGAGCCTGGATTCCACTCTGCAGGATGACTGCTGAAAAAATAGGCTTACAATGGTTAACTGCTAAATGACCAGTTCCTCTTTTTCTTGTTGGTTTTGTTTCCGTTTTCCCTTGGATTTTTTTTAGAACGGTGATTCTTTTCTTATTTCACACACTGAAGATACAGTAAAATGACCTGTAATAAAATCATTTTTTATGAATTCCATGATAACACAGTAAGGTTCCCATTGTGTAAAAATGGGGTCCTTATACATTGTGAAGAAACCCTCCCTGATCCAGCAGTGCATCTGTTACAGTTCTGATTAGGGGAAAGTAACTGCCAATATGATGGTGTAAAAGAAAAACAATGTGAGGTAACTTTGTAACATGTAAATGTGGACAAACAGGAAGGTTTTGCCCTTCTGTCGCAACAATGGATCAATTCTCCACAGGAAAATATTGAGCTAAAAATGTGTTCCAGCCACAGAAAGAATTCAGGTAAGAGAACAGGCAAAAGGGATTTTGTCGGAAGGGATAGAGATGTACAAGATGTTTCGGGTATTCTTGCTCTAAATAACTTCTGATAGGCTGCAATCAGGCAGAAGCAATCCTACCCCAGTTATTTTTTGAAATTATGTGATAAAGTCCACTGATTGAAGCAGCAGTCTTCATGTTTACTTCTTTAGTTCACTGAGCATCAAAGGCAGTGATGTACCTGAAAAGGCACAAGTGTAGTTCAGGGCAGAAAATGTTTCTTCTCTGTGCCACACCTCAAAGGAGTTCTGACTGAGGTGAAAGCACTTGGGCAAGGACAACAAGGAGAAGTTGACTGTGATTACTGATTACACTGTAAATGGCTAGAGAAACAAGCTGTGGTTGTTTCTGTGCTATTGTCTGGGTCAGACTTGTGGGGTCTTAAGTTATACAAGGGGTTTTGTGTGTGTTTTCAGATGGAGGACAGTAGTTATTTTCTCATGATAGGATTTCGTCGTGTAGGAAGTGACAATTCAGTGGGTAAATTTATTTGTAGTGTCATTGCGATTTCAGGTTAATCATTATCTATTGTTACAAAAAGATATCACCGATTCCACAGGTGTACTAAAAAAGTCTTAGTTTGAAAATACTCTCTAAGTAAAAATAAACTCTTCAATGACTGTAAGGAATTCAATTTTCTTATTAAAAAATTGTTAAGACAAAGTAACGTGGAATTATTTTTCCACAATTACTTTTTGCACACTGTTTTCTGCTCCCTGTAGAGATAAACATTCTAATATTGAGCAAAAATCACATTCTACATTTCAGAATAATAGTTTAAAGCAGCCTTTACTGTGTTCACTTAAATATTCATTTAAATGATTAAGTTCTCTGAATTTCTGAGTAGTAAGTGCACAGAACTTTGTGCCACTTCCAGGCATAACATTGCTTCTGTTGGAATTCCTGATACCGGCCGTCTGCTGAAACATGAGTTCAGCTACCAAATATAGATGAGTGGGGTAAGAATTACAGTCAGATAGGACAGATGGAACGCACAAGTCACAGTCTTCTCAATGCTTACTGGGGACCAAGCAATCTTCAGAGAATAGCTGGAGCCTGCTTAAATAAAGAAGGAGAGAAACAACGTTACCTGCTATTAATTATACTTGAAACTCCTCCTTGGTTTTAAGGTCTGTTTTTATGTTTTATGCCAAATCTAATTTAGTAAAGTAAATGTGCAGGGTTTCAAAATCCAGAAGGTGAATATGTACTTTTTTTAAAAAATAATCTTAGTAGATACATTTCTTTTTAAATATTACTCTGTTGAACAGATTGGCTTTGGGTTGCATTTCTTTTAGGTATTTAATTTTCATCACACAGTATCCCTAAATTCAGGATGCTTGTCTTTGTTTTGAATGAGACGTTTGCTTTTCTGTTTTCCCATGTTTTGTTATTTATTTCTTTAATACCTTAATTTGATGAATCCTTCAAATTTTTTCTGAGATGGTTATAAACTAGTATGCTCTGTGTTTGACTATTGACCACATTGCTTCTTACAGCATCTACACTGCTTTGTGTAGGAATATTTAAATGGCATGATATTAGAATGCACGTTTACTGTGAGCAATTTTAAAATACAGAGCAGATAGGAGTACATCAGCAGTTCATACTTAATAATGCTGGAGCTATAGCTAAACAATCTCATCTGCATGCAACACTATTTTATGTTTGTTTATGTCTTTAAATGATACAGTATATTGCTTCACACATTACCTAGTGAGTGATGATGATGAAAACTGTTATAAATATTCTGTAGTGTAACTTGGCGGAGATAGAAATAGCATTAGGTATTTCTAATCATCATCTTATATGCAACTTGATAGGGTTCACGATATCGCCTCCAGTTTGCTGCAATTACAAGTCACTCTAAAAGAATAGCAGGCTTATGTATTATGTGAATGACAAAAAATCTTTATACACGTAGCGTTCATTCCTTTATCGGAAGGAATACATTTAAATCTATTTTTGGACCAGAATTTCCTCACCGAAAACACTAATCAGCACCGGAAATGGCCAATAATGAGCACGTTTAAATTTATTGAGTTAATCTAACTACTCACCTATCAATTGATTTACTTGAATTTGAACACTGAGTGATGGAAACTATGACACATGCAGCCAGCAGGTTTTTCTAACGAATCAAAATACAGCACAAAAAGGAGTGTTAGGAAATATTAGATAATCATTCAATCATTGTGTCAGAGTAGCTAGTAACGGGTGAGATTTTCCATTGACCCATGGAAACGATGGAGCAAATTGGGTCTGGAAGTCTAAGAAGTCTATCTGAATACGTAAGATATCACTTGGAGCTGGAAGCTTGCCAGGAAGCAGTATGACCTAGATTAAAATAAAGATAACGTTTAAGCACAGAAATTTACAATAACAAATTATCCAAGTAGAAAACTAGTATATTTGTTCATTTCAATATGACATTTTAAAATCTAAGGTCTGCAGATTTAACCCTTTGTTTGCAGGCATCTGTTAAGCTTATGCCTGAACAGCTGAGACTCTAGACCAACTGTGCTCTTGGCTTCTCAGATTCATTCTTTCAAGCTGCTGTATGGTAATCAAGTGTACTGTACATCCTTTTTTAGATTATGTTAACAATGCATTGGCATGGTTGCTAAATTTCTTGCCCTGTGAACACAGATAAAAAGGAAGAAAGGTGTAATCCCATCAAAGAGGATGCCATCGAAGAAGGCACCTGTCAACATATTCTACAAAAACACATTTCAAATACTAAAAAAACCACGTTGCTTTGCTTGTATTTCTTTTGTGCATTAAGTTGTAATCTGTTGGCAAGACAAGTAGAGATAGCAAGAGATGCATATGCCAGGCCAAGAATTCCAATAATCTATCAGTCAGTTAATGAATACATGCCAGATAAGCCCCGGGGAAGTGACTAAAGGTTATTGGAGCTTGCACAAGCTGATGTAAAATAGATCTGAGTGCATCTCATGGCTGCCCAGCCACCTGTATTTTGGTGAAACAATGCTTTGGAGCATTAGAAGGAAAAAATGGTTTTATGAATATCTTGTGTAGAATGAATCTCACGCAAACCATCATCAGAAGAGAACTGTCAAGGATAATTAAAAATATTGATGCTTGATTTAATTAAATAGCTTGCGGACAAAACAGTTACTTTTAAGATCAGATCATCCACATTCTAGCGACCGATAGGACACATGAATTTCAATAAGAGGGATTTGACGTTGACCTTTGCCTTGGGAGAACAGTCGTCTTTGTTGGCTTTAAAGAAGCAGGCAACTCATCTTAATCCTGAAATTATGTGGAAAAACTGAAGATAGATCCATAAAATATGGAAGTAGTGCAGAATGGACCTCATATGCTCATGTGTGGCAGGATGATACGTGGGTTGTGAAACCTGTTTCCTCAGTGTTGTGCTCTTAGCACGTGTTTAGAGAAAGGATGCTATATTTCAATAAAATCTACCACTTTTAAAAACGATAATACAAGAAGTACCGTAGTATTAAACACCTTGTCAGTATTAACAAAAATTGGTGACTTGGAAACTCTGATCCAGACATCCTGATAACTTGTACATGTGTACATTCATATTTTTGTATGGCAACTGCTGAATCATGACCTGAACCTCTGATTGACCACCTGAGGTGAGTAATGAGTCAGCCCTGGGAGCACAGGTAAATACAACTCTCCTGTGCTACTGGAAGGGGTGGAGCGTGGCTCCATCTCTCCTAGACCCCATTTAAGAACTGGCTACCAGTGAGGAAGGATCTCTTTTGGAGATTGTTCTTCTTGGGGTCTTCTGAGTGAGCCCAAGACAAGGGCAAGCTTTCCATCTGTTCTTCAGTGTGGTAACGTGTTTAGCCTAACTTTCCTTTCCTCTATGTTTTTTAATAATAATGTCTGTATATTCATTGATTACACACGTTTCAACTAGAATAGTTTTCTCTCAGAATTTGATCGATAGCAGTGGTCTGTGAGAAAAGAAAATAATAATAATAAAATGCAAGTTATTGTAATTAAATACTGAGTAAGTATAATAGCATTGTGGTGACGGAATAAATTGCTCAGACTGATCTAGCAGGACTGAGCTTGTGCTAATGTACAGAGGAAGGATGCCTTTGAAGTCCTGAAGAAGACAAAGGAGGAAAAAATGCTCATAGGGGCTTTCATTTCTGCCTAGAAAACTTTTAGTTCTGATTTGTTGGGAATTTTGAAATCTAAATCAAGGTTTATAGCAAGTATTACATGCACAACTACGTTTCCGCTCTTTACCCAGTTTTGTGTCTAGCTTATAGGGTCCAGAATATAGCAGAGTTTTTTATTGACCATTTCCATTGTGTCATTTCTAGTTTTGTTAAACAACTGTTTTTGTCTTCCAGCATGCAAGATGGAAGCTGTGGCCAGTCATTGCCTCTTTCTTTAATGCGGAAGGAGACGTACTGTGCGGAGAGGGACATCAATCAGGGATATCCTAAAAACATGACAGAAGCTTCACCGTGCCAAGACATTTTCTATGATTCCCTATCTGGCGTACAGAATGGAGAATTTTCAAATGAACTTTCTGCCTTCCTTACCCAGGAGGAGATATGTAAAAGTCTTGACATAGCTCGGGAATCAATTGCCAGTTCCATGAAGGAGGATCAGAATATAGCACCGGAGTTGACTCATTTCAGTACTTCTGTTTCTTGTGCTTTAGAGCATGCTTCTTTTCGGGATACCGAAGTGCACGAGCAAGGTGCTTCACAGAGGTCTCAAGCAAGCAGCCTGACTTCATCTTCAGCAAGTCACATTCCTCCAGTGAATCAGAAAGAGCAATTCACCTCACCGAAAATGGCGAGTAGTTTTGTCACAGTCTCCAGGAAGCAAGAAAGCACCTCACCTTCGCTAGCTGCTAGTCCCAGCTACATTAGGAGCCTGAAACATTCAGAAAAGCATGCTTCAGGTGTGCCCTCCACGAAGTCTGAATCAGCATCCCAAGGAGACGTTCCTTTCAGGAACAAGCTGTGTGACAAAGCTGCCACATTCATTGAGGAACTGTCATCTATATTTAGAGAGGCGGCAAAGACAAGGGGCCGAAGTCCTGATGGGGACTCTTCTCCAGACAGTGGATACCTGTCACCGAAAAAGAAGCAATCCACATTAAGTGCCTCAAGGAACAAAGACTTCAACAAGCCACATCAAGAGACCGAGCCTGGGCCAAAACTATCTGGGGTTGACCTCAATGGAGAGCCCTGTTCTGAAAAGGAGAGCATCACACAGAGTGAAATGGTTCTTTGCCACCCTTTCATCAATGCAGGAGACGATCGGCCTTCACCCCCTCAGTTCACTCAAAAGCTCCGGAGTCAGGAAGTTGCTGAAGGAAATAAAGTATTACTGGAGTGCAGAGTTGCTGGCAACCCAGTCCCTGATGTCAGGTAAGTATATGCCTTTAGCAAAGTCTCTGGCTATCATCTTATAAATGCAGAAGATACCTGAGATGAAGTGTCAGTGGACTTGCTTGGAAGTAACAAATAACATATGAGGAGCGTATCCTTCAGTTCATAAGCTGTAATAATAGATCCAGACCTCTTCAGATCTCTAGAATGTTTAATTGCTTGGGAATTAAGGTTCTACTTGATTCAAGAGTCACATGGCCAAGTTGGAAACCAAGTGACTAATAGTATCCTTTGTGATTTGCTTCCTTAATGTAAGGGAAAGAATTCACCAGTTTCCCCTGAAGTGCGTGTGTCAGTCATAAAAACACATCTCTACTCTCAATTAATAAGAATGGTTCTAAGTTTCATACCAAGGGAATTTGGAGTCTTTAGTATGAGAAAACCTGAAATTTGCTAAATCTAGCCAACTATCTTTTTTTTTTTTTTTTTTTTTTTGAGGCATTGCCAGAAGATGCTTCCATAGTTCCCATTTCAAAATTCCTTTTGATACTTTGTAGTGAAGTTTATGTGCGCGTGGTTCTGTTTGATAACAAAGCTCAGAAATAATGAGCCTTGCAGACATCATCCAAAAATATAATTGTAATTCTCCATCAAGCAATATTGTAGGCATGTCATCTCTCTAATAGTTGTTTAGTATTTTAGTTCTGCTGGGGCTGCAGAAATCTTCCAGATGTTTATTCACCATCAAGCCGTCATGAAAGGGTAACTGTAGAAGCAGCAGAAGCAGCACAATTAAGAAAGGCAGGGGATCTTCCTCCCTCTTGTGTTTTTTTTTCTTAGATTGTTCTTTCCACCTCACGAAGACATTGCAGCCTGCCAGTGGTACTGCTATACACTTGAGGGCAACAAGAAACATTAACTTTAATGGAATCTTTACTTGTTGCTGGATTAGATAATGTATTCTTACTAATACTGAGTTAAAAAGTAGAGTAATAGCAATGGACGGAGATACCTCCTCTAAGGAGAAAAATAATTACAGTTAATTAATAGTAAAAGATTGTTCTACCTAATTTACCTGTGTATGCATTTGGTGTTTAACCTGATCAAGTCATCCTAGATTCTGTCTGCAGTCACTGGAGGGAAATGTATCTGTTAAGAGTCTCCTACTTCACTTGTTTCCTACAATGGCAAGAGAAAGAAAGCAAATGCTTGAGCGTGAGCATTTTGTTAACAACTGGCTATACAATAGAGGAGGCAAGTCCCACACATCCTCACTTCTCAGTGCTCATAGAAGGCACAGAGAGAGTTTCTTTAGCAGCTCTTAACCACAGGTAAAGGAACTATAAGAAAAAACAACTGAGTTGCCTTTACTTGCAGGTGATATTCCACCTTGATATATAATTGCATAAAAAGAGCTTAGATTTTTTTTCTAGTATTTCAATTTGGAAAACATCTTCACTTCCGTAACTTGAGCAGCAAACTTAAATCATTTCTCACTATGAAACTGTAAGAGTTTTAGGTATTAGTTATCAAGTCATTAGAAAGACTGCTTAAGTGGAGACAATACTTCATTACTAAAAAAACACTGTTTCTGTTCAGTTGAATGTTGCCACCATAGTTCTGTTATGCTTCAGTAGATACATCAGGCTTAGAGAGTCCCAAAGTGTATTTTGCGAGGTGAAAATGATCTTAAAATGGACTATAAATAAGCATGGAGGATCTTTACAAGTGACAAAAGTGCAAAGGAAAGCTAGTAGACAGAGCATCGTGTCAACAGGCATTTATTTTAATAACACAGCAAAAAAAAGTTCTGGTGCCACTCAAATCTTGTGATCTATTTCCTGCAATTGAGACGAGAGCAGTTATGTTGAGAAATGATTAGGAGCCATTGATTTCTTGTATGAAATACAAACAGTGGAGTTTATGTGAGTTTGACAGCAACAGTGAAGCTGCAGTTTTGTAAAAGCAAAGACTCTGTTGCCATGTTTTGGTATCTTATTGTCTTTATCTGTGGGTCTTCTGTGGTATGACTACAGAGCAAACTAAGGTAGGTAGTTGTGTGTGAGCTGTGATGCCTACTTGCATAAGTGTTTTCCAATATTTTTAGATGTGTTTCGAAGACTAAATATCAAGATAGCGACAAGAAACGCAGGAAAAAAGGGATTGGTATTCTTTGTTGTTTTTTTTAATGGAAACCCTTCTTTTCTGAACCCTACCTCTTGCAGAATCATTAAATGAGAAGTATTAATGTCTGAGAAGAATAAGTCATGGGAAACACCACCAAGTTGATAGAATCAGAGAATGGTTTGGGTTGGAAGGGTCAAAGGCGATCCAGATCATCTTTGATCATCATGGCAGGGTTGCCACCCACAAATCAGGCTTCCCAGAGCCTCATCCAACGTGGCCTTGAACACTTCCAGGCATGGGGCATTCCACACATTCTCTGGGCGACGTGTTCCAGTGCCTCAGCACCTTCTCAATGAGGAATGCCTTACTTATATCTAATCTAGATTTACTTTTTCTAAGTTTAAAGCCATTATCCCCTGTCCTGTCACTACCAGACCCTGATACAGAGTCTCTCCCCATTTTTCCTGTAGGCACCATTTAAGTACTGGAAATCCACAGTGAGGTCTCTCCAGAGACCTTCTGCAGGCTGAGCAAGCCCAGCTCTCAGCCTGTCTTCCCAGGAGAGGCAGTTCAGCCCTCCGATCATCTTTTTAGCCTTCTCTATACCCATTCCTCCAGGTCCGTGTCCTTTTGCTGGGGGCACCAGAGCTGAAGGTGAAATAGAGGGGGGAGAATCCTCTCCCTTTCTTGCAGTTCATGCTGCTTTTGATGCAGCTTCCTGAGCTTCAAGCACACGCTGCTGACTTACACTCAGGTAACAGTGCATGGTTTTTAAATCAGTAAGATTTTATAGTAATGTTTGACATATTGATATTGATGTGTCTTGGCTTGTTTCCTTCTTTGAAAATGATAATTTCTGTTCATAGCTTGCATCATTGCTGACTTGAAACAAATAAAATTCATTTTAATTTCTCAGTATTTTACAAAGCTTCTTGAGAGTTGAATGGTCTTCAACTTTAAATAGTTCAGTAATTATTAATAATTAGCTCACCGATTTGTGAATAGACTTAAAAATGGCGTATCTACTATCAAAAAGTAAGAATTGCTTTTCTACCTTGCTCCTAAAAATACGTATTCCTGTAGTCTTATTATCATTATGGTTCTTGTGGCAATCGAATAAAGCTGCCTTAAGGATTCATTGCAGACCATAAAATTGTGCACCTCGACCTTGCAATCACTCTCACTCGGCTGAAGAGGTCTCTCTCACAGCACGGCCAGGCTTCTCACAGCCTGCGTTGCTTTGGAAGCAGAGCAGCGCAAGGGGGCAGCGGGGAGCTCTTCCTTCAACAAGGTTTGTACAAACCTTAGGGCAAAAGGGAAGATTGACCCAATGCTCATGACGTTGCTCTTAACCGCAGAGGGACAGAGCAAATTCCAAGTATTTGGAATGCAGTGAGATGGATTGGAAAGATTAGAATATCTATGAAATTGTTCAGTGGGGAAAAAAAGGATGTATAGAAGACAGCCACTTCCTTTAATGAAAGCTGCTGGATAGATAGAAGGCAGGCATGGATATTCATGTTCTTTCCAAAAAACAAAATGTTGAACAAGCTGAACAGTTAAATGAGTCACAATAGCAGATACAGAACTTGTTGAAGTGGAGCTGCAGATAGCACATGAGCCGTAGTCTGCACAGCTGCACAGAGCTATATATTGTGCAGAAACCAGGCTTCAGTTGTTACGATTCTTCCCACAAAAGCTAGTTTGGATAACATAGCCACTACCAATAACATTTTTGGGATCCTTTCTGTGGGAAGGAAACAACCAAGAGCGATAGTAATGATAGTAATGATAGTAATGATTCTTAACCTTTTAATAAAGCTTGAGTAGTGTGCATTAATAGCATGTTTAACAAGACATTTGACAACACTAAGTACCCTTAATTCAGAGAAGTCCTTGGGTCTGTTTCTCTTGTATTTCTTTAAGGTTTTTAATAGTCGAACTTCAAAACTGTTACTTTACCACTTGTACATCTTATCTACACAGATTAGTGTTCAGAACAACCTATCCAGGTGGTTCAGGTCCTACTTTTCAAATTTTTCAAGGTATATGAAATGCTTAAATTTCAGGTATCTGAATTAACTGAAATGCATGTTTATATTGTTCAAGTTGGAAACATTAGTTTTGATTGAGACAAATTTCAGAACATGTGGATAAGCAAATATTCTGCGTCACTGAGGTTTTTTGGTCTATTGTCTACAACTAGAGAGGACAGCATTTCTGCTGAGCATCTCAGGAAGCAGGCTCTTTCCTAGGTGAAGTAACCATGCCAAGTCCAGATAATGGTAACAAGATAATCTGGGGAAGCTTCACAAAGCCAACAGTTTGCTTATTCAAGCATAGCTTAGGCTGAGAAGTGCACTGATGCTACAAAATCAATGTTAAGGGGACTCCAAACGGTGAATGGGTAGGAGTGTTGGTAGGGCAATATTTTGGGCACTTCTCCATTTATCTGGTGGGTTGGTTGTTTTTTTTAATTATTTATTATATTTATATTTATAAATATAAATATAATAAATATATAAATATATAAATATAATATAAATATATATAAATATAATAAATATATAAATAAATTTATATATATTTATTATATAGCCATATATATGGCTTTAGACTTTTATTTACATAGGAATTGAATGAGACTTGGATGAATGACAAAATAAGAAAGCACTGTATGTCTTCGGAAAGCTCTCACTAACTTTGTCCATGTTAAATGTGTGTAGTTTGTGGTGTTTTTTGAGGTTGCTTTTTTTTTTTTTTTTTTTAAGATTAAAAAAAAAAAACTGAGTAGAACTAATTATAAAATAAAGACTTCCAACTAGAGCGGCACCAAAGCAGTGCTAGAGGCAATATTCCCAAAAGCTGCTTTTACTTCATGTTTCAGCATTTATTTTTATGAACCCTATGTATTGTGTCCGTACCTTGCTTTTGTGCAAAGCTTCAACAGCCAAGGAAGCTTGACAGTGAGGAAATAAATTAGTAATTTACTGAGTAATTTACACAGACTGATTGAAAGCACTGATCTGTGAAAAGTACAACTGAGTTTGGAGGCTGAGTAGAATAGAGGTGGGAATGTACTCACGTTTCAGGAGTGGACGACTTCCTTTTGTACTGAAATGAGAAGAGAAATGGAGTAGAGAGGCTTTTCATAAAGAGAAGCGTTTGCAGTTGACGCTTTTGGTTTATTTACCTATCAAAGTTCAACAGGTACGCAGTACTATTGCAAATCTCATTGAAATGGTTCTGCTTAACATACTGTGACATGTTCGCTCATTTGCCTAAAGGCAATACCACTTCTTGAGTTGTTTAAGATTCTTAAGGTTAATTAAAGCAGTTTAATAACGCTATGTGAACAGGACATACTTTCGTTAGATACAGTGTATTTCTTCACAAATGGAGTAAATGCAATTACCACTTTGCATTGTAACACTTCAAAAATTCTTTCATAATGCAGAATTTGAATGGTATCTGGAACATGCTTGGTAAATGCGTTCTTGTCAATGTGAAAGCTAAGTTTAGAGATCTTGCTGATGACATCAAGCAAACAGAGCTTTTCTGCAAACATCACTGATGAAGGGAAGTATTGAAGTTCATTCAATTAGGGTTGACAGGACCTTGGAGAAGATGGGAAATGCTGCTGGCTTTTCAAATATAATAGACAAAGCATAGAAGAAATACTGTTAAACAGAAGCAAAAAATGAGCTTATTTTATCAGTTCTAGAACCTATTTGATGTAGTAAAGCGCTGCATATTGAAGTGCTTACTATGGAACAGGCAACAATAACCTTATTTTCTTTATGTAATATGCTACAGTTACTGTGCAGTGTAGAGTGTAAACTCAAGAACAGTAGTGTGAACTTGAATGCGTTAGACTTCCTATGGGAAAGGGCAGTAAGTTAAAAGAGCCTGAGAATTTAATGTAATTATCAGGTGGAATCACTTAATACTACGCCTGTCTTCCCCTCAGCTACCTACAAGTGAAAGCAAGTAGAGGATTAACTTTTTTGTGTGACAAAGCCATCATGAAGTTGTTTCATTTAGTCTAACAGTAAAAAGACTCTTCAAATAATTGGTTTTATTGTTCCACCATACTAATAATATATTGCACAGCACATATGCATTAATTTCATTGAAAAGATTACTTTCTGTATTTAAGTGGAATTTCAGTGCTTTATAAAAAGCCTACATAACGTACGAGCCTCTTTCACTTATTTCCTCTTATTTCATAAGGCTGTGCTTTTCAGATGGCTGAGGGAAAAAGATTTGACATACAGTTAATGTTTTGTTTATGTTGCAACTGACAGGTAATGTGGCTAACTGGAGTCTTTTGATGTTACAAGAGATTTAGCCCAGCAGTAGATCATTGCCTATGAGAAGACCGCTTGAGTGTTTGCCCTGTGAGTAGCTGAGGCTAAATATATGTAACTGTATAAGCCTAAGCTGAGGGCTTCATGCTTCTATAAAGTAGTCTTGACAAGTCTAAATTGATAACAAGCTTCAAAGAAGATGGCTTAACATTTGGACACAATCTGAAATCCTTAGCAGTTTGTTCTTCAGGTATATTTTTTTTCCCCTGTGATGTTACGCTTTATCCATTCTACTGAAAGTGCACTGAAAATTAGGGGCCAGCTATAGTGTCAGTTGCTGGCAGAATCTCTTTTCCGTGGTATATGGCTTTCCAGATAGTCTGAATGTGAAGGTCAGTCTTCTTGGTCAAATGTGACTTAGTATGTTATGAGAGCTTTGTTACACAGAGCAGTGCCATTCTCTCAAAAATCAGCAAAATCAGTAACAAAAACTCCTGTTCTATCATATAGGCTCATGTTCTTGTTCGTTGTTGAGTTAGAGAACACTGCAAAAATAAGTGTTTAAGTTATCAGTCACATAAATGCTTTCAGTGCCTAAGACAAGAAAACGTAGTATTTTATACGCGGTGAGGAAGAGAGGCTCTGTTTTTATTAGCTGGTTTTGGGATGTTTTGCTTTGTGGTTTTTTTTTTTAAAGGTAGAATGGTTTACAGTAACTCCCTGCTGTAATTATATATTCTACATGCCTTATGTTGAATTGTAAATGCTGTTATGAGTTGGCCTACAGGTAACTCTTAGTAACGCCATGCTTAAGCCCAAAGATCAAATGGAAACACAGATCTCATAATGACTATAATCCGTATTTAAAGGTTTGAATTTGAACTGAGTTGGCTTAAATAACTTGATTGGGTTTTTTATTTGTTTTTGCCTAGGGATCTAGAAGGAAATTAACATGTAATTTGCTTAGTTTTAAGTGAGTAACGAGTTGCTTATTTTCAATTTAAGCATCATCTGCAAGAAAACAAGTAATGCAATACATACAGTTGAAGTTATTTCAGTCAATATTTGTAAATTTTAAGGTGTTAGAGAAGTGAAGTTATTTTTAACCTGCCTATCATAGACAATAATGCTGGGTTACAATTCTCTTGGGATCGAATATCCCTTCCCTATTTCATAGAACATGAAGGTCAGATTTTTTTCTGGTCTACTCCACTTTTCCTGCAAGCGTGTTCCTCTTCTTATTCTGAATGTAAATACAAGCTGATCCAGTTAGTTTAGAAATTAATAGACACAGTTAAGTAGGTAACTAAGTTAACAAATGCCATGTATGTTTTACTTTCCTTACTTGAAATAAATAAAATCAACTTCTTCCTCTTAGCTACTTTTATTGGCAAAATTCATTCTTCATTCCAGTTACATTCCCTTATTCAGATTTTCCTACTTTTTAAACCATCAAGACTTACATTCAGGTAACTGACCCATCTACATAGCAAGTAGTTTGTTTACAAGCAACATGAACAAAAATGTTTAAAACTTGCAGTGACCAGTTATGGGCCTGTACCACACAAAAGCTAGTGTGTTCACATTTCAGTATTGTTGTTTTTTTTAAATGGGGAAAAAAATGTTCCAGGGAAATCCTTATGCAGAATTACGAATACTACTGAGAAGTGCCGAAAGGGTGTGTTTTTAAGGATCTGCCCTAGTTCTGAATAATCAACCCGCAGAGAAGTAATTCTTGCAGTTGTCCTGTAGAGAGTTCTCATTCTCATAATCAGCCAGTAAGATTTACATTCCCAAATTCTTTCAGTTCTCTCATGCACCAAGCTGAGGCATCTAATTTCAGTACTATGTGATAGAACCTTGTTGAAGATTACTGTCTTGGAAACTGATTTTTTTTTTTTTAAAGGAAGTTGCGAGACTATGCATTTATTCACTTTGTAAGCCTTTTTAATTAAATATCAATTTTATTTCTCCTAAACCGTAATGATTTTTAACTGATCATCACTGAAGCAAATGAGGAAAGGAAGATACTTCTCCATATCACTGTATTAGTTTACTCAAGCTTGGAATCACTGCTGCTAGAAGGAATTCTTCTGCAGGCGTTAGAAACATAGAACATGCTGATTTGGAAAGGACTCAAAAGAACCATCAAATCCAACCCTTGGCACCACGCAGGACCACGCAAGCTTCAAACCCTGCATCCAACGCTCTAATCCAAACTCTTTCTCAACTTCAGCAGCTTGGGGCTGTGCCCACTGCTATGAGGAGCCTATTCCAGTCTCTGACCCCCCTCTAATGCCTAACTTATTCTTAATATCTATCTTTATCCTCCCCAGTGCAGCCCCATCCGGTCTTGTTGCTCAGTGCTGCCCCTCTGCTTCCCTGGGAAGAGGTAGACGGCCATGAGGCCTCCCCTCAACCTCCTCTGCTTTGGGTGAACAAACACACAGCTACCTTGCTTCCAGACCCCTCACTATCTCTGTAGTCCTCCTTTGGATTCTCTCTAGTAGTTTCATGCTATTCTTACATGTTAGCAACCAAAGCTGCCTATGGTTCTCAATGGGAGGCTACGCAGAGCAGAGTGGGGCAACCCATTCCCTCTGGTGGTGGTGCTGGCTCTGATGGCCCTTTTCATTGTCAGCACACACATTGTGGATTTAGATAGAGCTTGGAGTTATAACTAACACGCAGTGTAATATAATCCAAACTGGAATGCTGAATTTAATTTTCTTTGCATCTTTCCCATACACTGCATACAGCATGTTACAGTCTTTTAATATCAATATTGAGAAGGTTGCTTGAGATGTTGCTACAGTCTTTTTTTTTTTGTAGTGAAAAGTAAGGGAAAATGCCTGTAGCAATACAGAGGTAGATGTTACTGTCTGCTTTCTGCCTTTTTTTTCTCTGCTTCTTTTTTACAAAGCTGTATTGCCACTAGTGATGGCTTTCAAGTTTAATTATGGAAGATAGGAACAAGGGAAGACTTGATTGTCTGAGCTTCCTCAGGCTTGCCATATGGCTAGAAGGAATCTTTAAAAGCCTATTTTCCACAAATCCCCTGAGATGTAATTTAGGTTGACTTCACCTACAAAGGAAGTAGGTGAGGACAGTGATTTGCAGTTCACTGAGGAATTGTTATAGTTGCCAAGAACTGCAATTCTGGAACATGCTACTGACTGCAAATTCAGTGGATGGTGACTCAGACTTACAGACTAGCACGTCTCCTCAATTCTCAAAGGATACCTCAATCACTGATTAAAATGATCTTTTTAACAACTACAATGCAGCCTAAGCAAGATGAAGTTAATCTCTTGTTGTGTAGAGGAAACACCACTCTTGCTCTAGTCCGGATGACAACATGAAGATTTGATGCATATGAGTTTATGTAGTGTAACGTTACGGCAGAAGCTGCTCCAAAACGCAGGAGTGGCATAAGAGTCATGGCAAATGCCTATATAAACTGATGCAGAAGTTGGCCTTGAATTAAGGCCTTCTCTAATGTAATGATTATGCAGGCTCACTATATTGCTCCTCATAGCTTTGGTCCTCAGAAGGACTATTTTCAAGCAACGTGAAGATAGAAATTATGTATTTTGGGTTGAAAAGGAGGATGCAATGCAGAAGTTTCCATGGCTGGACGGTGTTGTGTGAATAACATTCAGCAGAACGCAGTAACAATTCTAAGCGTGCTATCTTACTTTGCCTCCTGCTTATTTGAAAGATGGCTGTAGTACCTCAGCCTTCAGCATAAGGACTGCCCTTTTAACCACAGCTTGACTTCAGTAATTACTGCTCCAATTAATCACACAGTCTACTCTGCTCTTTTTAGCGTAGTACCATTTGACTGAATAAAAGATACTGCAGTGTTTGTGTGC